GCCAGGTCCTGCAGGAGATGCTGGACATGCTGCGTGACCACTCCAACAACCACCACAACGAGAAGCTGGAGCTCATCGTGATCGTGCTGCTCATAGTGGGGGTCTGCGTGGCACTGCTGGAGCTCGCGGGCCTGCTGGGCTGGGTGAGGCAGTGACGGCGGCCGCAGGGCGGCCGCACAAACTCGCTCCCAACTTTCAGGCCTTTTCGCCGCTGCCGCTGCTGCTTCCTGAGTCTGCGCCCTGAATGTTTTCCTTGATCGATCTCTTTTTGGTTGTTGTCAGGCCTACTGTTCAGCACGGGTGCATGCATGGCCCCATCCAAGGGGTTGGGGGAGTCGTCCCCGCACAGAGCGAGTGTAACGCCTGTGGCGCACCCAGCGCCACGCGCATGAGCCACACGTCAATGGCGCCAAAGTGTATTCCCCAGGGGCCGGGGGTGGGAGCAGAGACGGCTGGCTGCATACAAACCTGTGTAAATGTATGTCAGCATGCACGTGCGCGTATGACTTGCGCGCAAGGCAGGTGTGCAGGCTGAAGCTTTGCACAAGCAGGCATCCCAGGGTCACAAGAACATGCGCAGCAGCGGCTCATGGGCCCATGCTTTTGGGGGCAAGCTGACACTGCTTGCTTGCTGCGGGGGGCTATCACATGTTGCGTGCGCAGCTTGCGGCTGAGTGCGCATTTGCACTAGGGTCAACGGCTGCGGCGCATTTGGTGTAAGCATCACAGCCGTGCAACTATGGATGACGGCGTGCGGGCCCGCCAGGGCTGCTTCGCGACAAGAAATTCTTTCCAACGCGGCTGGCCACGTCGCTCTTTATAAAAAAAGGGCACCCCCATAAAATGCTGACCCGGTCAGGCCTCGGGAAACTAGGCAGAATGTATGCCTGATGGTGCATGATTGGGCACCCGACACAGCTATGAGACCCCTCTGTTTGGGCGGCAGCTGTCAGCATGGCGGTGGCAGTGATCAGATTCAGATGGCACTCGGCCAGGGCTCAGCAAAGCGACCCCGGCAACCCGCGCGTGGCCCTCTATGGCCTGGGGAGATTCCATTGCAGCTGCAGGTGAGAAGATCCCATACACTAGGAGGCAATCAGGAGAAGAGTGGGCAGAAGCCAACGCCGTCCCAAACGCGTGTCACCATCGCTGCCCAGTGATGGCGCCACGCGTGCACAGCAGCGGAAGGGCGGCGGCCGGCCCGACGGCAGGCCCGCGCCGATCCCATGGCGCAGCGCACGCACCCGGCGATGCGGGCCGCATCTGTTTGTGCTGGCAATGCTAATTTTGAGTGCAGACGGGGGATTTGGGGTCTGGCAGCGCGATGGGGGCCATGCGGGGCAACTATCTCTAAAACCGCGGTTTTCGCAGAAAAGCCCGAGACTCACTCAGGCCGTTCGTCCCCTGTCCCCCCGCTCTTTGCTAGCCCCCCAAGCCACACCGCGTTATTGCGCGTGTCAGCAATCGGCCAGCGGCCCTGCTAGATCGGGGGCGCCAGGCCAGCACAAACAATGGCCGACGACCCGACGGAGCAGGCCCCTGTCCCGACAGCAGAGGCGCCAGCCGAGCAGCCCGAGGAAGGGAGCCACAGACTAAGGGGGACAGTCAAGTGGTTCAACGCCACCAAGGTGGGGCCTCGCCCCGCTGGGGGGCGTAGCAGGTCTCGATCTGGCGACAGGAGCAGCCAGAGGGGAGATTCCAGGGCGCAAATAAAGCAGTTGGGTCTCTTCTTTCCCATACAATCGTCGCCGTGGCGTCGCAGGGGTTCGGTTTCATCACACCCTCTGGGGACGACTCTGGCGAGGTCAAGGAGGACCTGTTTGTGCATCAGGTGTGCGATTGTACCCATCGGAGATCCCGCCGAGGGCAGATCTCCGGGCTTCGACCGCGGGGCCGGGTTGACCCGGGCCCGGCAGCGCCCCGCGACCTCGCCTGCCCCCGTGGAAATGCGCGGCATAACGAGAAGCCCATCTACATCCCCCTTGCGCGCAGACGAGCATCCAGGTCGAGGGCTTCCGAAGCCTGCGGGAGGGCGAGGAGGTCGAATACGATGTGGAGGAGGGCCCAGACGGGCGCACTAAAGCCATAAATGTGACGGGCCCGTCGGGCTCGGCCCCCATGGTGTGTGCCCGCAAGGGATTCGCGCATGGGTGCGGGCGCATTGTCCTGCGCGGCGGGAGCGACGCAGTGCTGGGGGCGCGTCGCGCGCTCTGGAGCGGTGCTGAGTTGGTTGTGAGGAATAATGGCGCGCCAGGCTGGGGAGCAAACGGCAGCAATGGGTCGGCGCGTCGAGGGATGCGAGCAGGTGCACAAGCTGCTCAGCAGTGGCGGGGCGATGCTGCGGCGCAGCGGGGCAGAGATCCCGGCACGGATCATGGAGAGTTCGTCTGCCGCCCGCACAGATTAGACCGCTGGCGGAAATGACACCGATATGCTCACCAGGCCCTGCCTGCCGTCGCCACCCTCAACACATCGCCGATTGCAGGGCGCTCCCCGGCGGGCGTCTCGCGGCAGCGGAACGCCCGTGGCGGGCGCAGCACCGGGCGGCGGCGGCGGCGCATTCCGCGGTGGCGGCCGTGGGCGGGGGCCGGGGCCTGCGGGCCCCGCGGCAGGCTACTTCTACCCTCCTGCAGGTTATGGATACTACCCCGGCGGCTACTACCCTGGCGCCTACTACCCGCCGCCGCACGCCTTCCCAGGCATGCGCGGCGGCAGGGGCATGCGCGGGCGCGGCCGGTTCGGCGGCGGGCGGGGAGAGGGTGGTGAGGGCGGGGAGCCCAGCGGCCTGCAGGTGCGGGCGGCTGCCGGGCGGCTGGTGTGGTTGTGCCGCGGTGGCGCATCAGCAGCACGGGCGCGCTGCCGCAGGAGCCAGCCGCGGCGGGAGATGGTGGATCCACGTGGCAGCAGGCACGGTTGGGGCTTACCGGCTCTTGTAAGCGCGCGGGGCCAGCGACCAGCATCTCGCCATGCCCTTGGCCTTGGCAACGCGGCGCTGTGGCCCTTCTTTCACCCTCCCTGTGGCCACCTGCCGTGCCGCAGGTGGTGGTGCACAACCTTCCCTGGTCGTGCACGTGGCAGCAGCTGAAGGACACCTTCCGGGAGTGGCGGGTGGAGCGGGCAGACATCGTGCTCGACGCCTGGGGCAAGAGCAGGTGGGGGGGCGGGCCCGCAGCCACAGGGGCGGCGATGCCAGGGGGGGCTGGGTAGTGGGCGGTGGCGTAGGGTGCCATGAAGTGTGCGCCGGCCACGCAGTGTGCGGCCGCCTTGAGAGGCAGCGGGGTGTCAAGTCAACTGCTGGCAGGCGAGCTGGTTGCCGTAGGGTGTACACGCTCTGCAACCTATCAAGGCACACATGCAGTCGTAAACGCCTCCCTACATCACCCCTCTCCTCCCCTCCCCTGTTCCTCCCATCAATTGGTACACCCTCCTCTTTCCTCCTTTCCCATCTCCCCCTCAATCTCCCCCTCATCCCATCAACCTGCGCAGGGGCTTTGGCACGGTGCGCTTCACGACGCGGGAGGACGCGGACGCCGCCATCGAGAAGCTCAACAACTCGGACTTTGAGGGCCGCACCATCACCGTGCGACTCGACCGCTACGCCTGAAGACCTGAAGAAAACTGCGCTGAACCTGAGTAGCCCGAGCGGGGGCCGCAGCCGCGGCCGCGGTCGCACGCGGTCGGGGTGGCCGCGGCCAAGAGCGCCTGCCCCACACCTGCGCGCCCAGCGGCGGTGGCTGCGCCCCCGCGCGGCGTTTTAATTTTGGCCGAGCGTCTCGAGGCGAGGCAGCGAGCCACCTTCGCGGCAGTTGTGCAGCAACCGCCGAGGCCCGACCTTGGTGGTGGAGGCTGTCTCAGCAGCTGCGGCGAGCGCGGTCTCATGGTTGCACTGGCACCGCTGCCCCGACGGCAGGGAAAGCGGCATGGATGGCGGCGGCCCTGCAGCAGTGGCGGTGGCGGCGGCGGTAGCGGCAGCAGCGGTGCTGGCTTTCAGTCGATGCCCAAGCTGGCAGCTGCCACGCCTCACGTCGCAGCCGTTCAGTCCGGTGTGTCGGCTTCAGCATTCGCCTAGCAGCAGCAACATGACAGCGGCCGCGTCTGCGGCAGCTTGGGGGGCGGCAGCCGACCACCCTGCTGGGTGGACCCTGGACAGCGGTGCCCGAGGGTCGCTACGCCCCACCAGCTTCTCGCGCCCGCCGGCATCTGGCCTCAACTCAGCCGCTGCATCCTGGTGGCACGCTGGATGCGCGGCTTGGTGGCTTGCTTTGCTGCACTGGCCTGGTCTGTGGAGCGCCGTGCATTCGGTGGCGGTGCCCTGCCCATGAGCGAGTTTTCCCAGCTGCAGCTTACTGCTTTTCCCTGCCTAGGTTTGCCTGAGTGCACGTATGAAAGTACGTGGTTGTTTTCTTGGCACGCTTGTGTTCTTGCTTGCCGCTTGTGTTTGTTGTCCATATGAGTGGCGCTGCCGGCGCCGGCTTTGGCCGCGGAGTGGCGCGTGCTTGTTTCCTCCCGCAGATGGTGCGGTGGTTGCGTAGCGACAGGGCACGGCGTGGCTTGTGCCGGCTTCCCTCAGGCAGGGGGCGCGTGTCTCGCGAACTTGGTGGTCTCCTTTCTGTCGGCGGCCAGCGCCTAGCGCTCGAGCTGGCCGCTGCCCGTGCGGTGTGTCGGCTACCCTTGCTGCCCTCTATCGCGGCGGGTGTATGTGAGAGTCGCGCACATGCGCAGTCGCTCAACACCGCGTGCTGTGCCTGACCTGCTCCCCACACCGTCGGAACCCAACAGAGCTCGGTAACAACGCTTCGGGAGTTGACCTTTGCACTCGCATCGGTTTGAGGGGCCACGGCGTCTCTTGCACCGCCAATCAGGCACGGATGGACGCGCAGCTGCCAATGCATGACTGCAAAGTGCTGCCTGCAAGACCGATTGGAAAAAAAAGCGATCGACGGGACGCGCACACGGATATGCTGCAGGGGACGGACTGCATGCTGTCCACTTCTATACACACGGCAGCCAGGTTGCCGTGTGAATGCTGATGCTCACACTACTGTGCAAGAAGCCAGCATCCCTGGGATCAGAGGCCTGTGACTTGCAGCGTGGGCTGAGCTGGCAGCCGCATGCGACCCCCAGAATTCTCTGCTGGTGGGCTGCAGTGTCAGTTGTTGAATTGCTTCCGTGACTTCATTTGCAGTGCCTGCGGGGACTAGTATCAGAGCGAAGGTCCTGCTGTTCGGCGGCCAAAATCTCTGTTCTCCCCGCGTGCTCCACTAGTCACACCGCCCACGTGCGGGCCATCGCTTGCAGAGAATCAGGTCCCCGTAAACCAGATAGGATAGTTCAGGACGCTGATCAGAATGCTTTCAAGCATTGCGGCCGCAGTTGTGTCGGGAGGAGCGAGCGCGGCAGGATGGGCCCCGATCATAGCGAGGAGGGGCCTCAGTGTACTGGCAAACGGTGCGCAATCCCACGCAGAGCGCTGCCATGTCGGCGGGCGGGTCAAAAGTGGTCGGCGCCATTGCGCTTTGCTGCACATGCGCACAGGGCAGAGTCGCCGTGTTTCCCCCAGCCATACCCTTACATGTTTATGTGCAGGCGAGACTGTGCCGCTGCCGGGATCTGCTGACGAGGCCGTGCTGGTGCGGCTGCCGCAGCGGCCGTATGGCGCGACCGCCGAATTGCCCGACTCAGTGGCGGCGCAGGTCAAGGGTGGGTCTGCCGGCTCCCCGCGCGCGCACACTGCACGGGTGTGATGGGCAACAATTGGCAGTGGCAGCAGCAGCGTATTGCTAAGCTTGGCTGCTGGGTTGTGGGCGCGTGGCTCTCGCGCATGGCGGCGCCTCTGGTCATGCCTGCGGACATGCGGGCAAGCGTCCCCTTTGTGCGCGAAGCGCACGCCTCCCCGTGCGCCCCGCCACCCGCGCCCTGGACACCCCCTTTCCCCACCAGGCGCGGGCCGCGTAGCGGTGCTGCGTGAGGCGTTTGCGGCGTCGGGCGTCGAGCCGAAGCAGCTGGGGCAGGTGCGGGGCGGCGGGTGAAGGCGGCGAGGCGAGGCACGTCGCGCTCCGCAACGCGCCATGCATGCGGGGGACGCGCTGTGGGCGGTTGCATGGAATTTGGGGTTGTTGACAGCTGAGTAGGCGCCCCGTGGAATTGCCGCAGCACTCTACAATAGGTTCGTCACCTGCGACGCTGAATGGCACGGGGGTGACTTCCCCCACCTCCTGCTGCACAAGCAGCTTCCCGGTACCCCAAGTCAGAAAAAAGCCTGCGGTGGGGTGGCGTGGAACACTGCTCACATCACCCTGCCCCCGTGCGCGCCCACCCCGCAGCTCGTTAGCCCCCTCACGCGCGGCGCCGTCGCGCTGGACAGCGCCAGCCTGCAGCCCGAGAACGCCCTCGTGGTGGACGAGTACACGCACGACACAGCCTCGGGACGATGGGGCCTGCGCCGCGCGGCGGTCGCGGCCGCCGAGTTCCTGCACGCGCAGGGCCTGAGGGTCTCGCTGGTGCCGGATGTGGCGGCGGCGGCGGCGGCGGGCGGCAGCGAGGGCGTGGGCAACGCGGTGCATGCGGTGCGCAGCGGCTTGAGCCCGCAGAGCACCAACCACGTGCTCATGGTGGCGCCGACCGCGTTTGGGTTCAACGAGCAGGCGGCGCAGGACAACGCCTTCATGCACGCCAGCACCAAGGCGCAGGAGGGCGGCAACCCCCTCACAAACCAGGTGCGGTGGGGATATGAGGCGGCTAGACTGCGGATTTCTTGCAAATTTGCAAGGCAAGTGCTAATTGCTTGGGGTTGGCGCGCTCCAGGCAGGGTATGCTGCCCGGTCCCCAGGCTGCCGCCCTCAACTGCGATTTCCTGCACGATGATACGATTTGTCGTAGTTTACATCTGAAACCCACCTTGCAAACACGCACGCGCGCGCCTGTGCGCGTGCACACACACACACACACACACACACACACGCACACACACACACACGCACACACACCCTTCCGCATGTCCACGCCGCGGCGCCGTCGCCAGGTGCTGCGCGAGTTTGCCGGCCTCCACCGCCAGCTCACCGACTGGGCCGGCGTCCGCGTGTCGCTGATGCAGCACGCCGTCTCCCACGGCACCCCCGACGCCGTCTTCCCCAACAACTGGTTCTCGACGCACGCGGCGCGCGAGGGCGGGGGCGCGGGGGCGTCGGCGGAGCGCACCATGGTGCTGTACCCCATGAAGTGCCCCAACCGCGCGGCGGAGCGGCGGCCAGACATCATCGCGGCGCTGGACAAGCTGCAGGGCTATGGGCGGCTGGTGGACCTCACGGGCGCGGAGCGCGAGGAGCAGCAGCGCTCCTTCGAGGGCACGGGTGGGGCTGAGGGCGGGGTTGGATCGGGCGCGGGTGTGCGGGGCCGAGAGGGTGCGGTCGTGAGGCGCGCGCGAGCTGCCGGATGGGGTGGTGGGGCTGGGGGCCAAGGCACGTGTCAGCCTGGAGCGTAGTATCCTGCTCACACCCAGAGCCATGCCCAGGCAGGGCACGCTGGGTTGGGCATTGGCGGGCACGGCCTTGGCCGCACAACCGGTTCCTGAGGCCCAAAGCCGAAAGCCTGGCTCAGCCAGCCTGTCGACCCGCTACCTCTCCTTTTCCATCTTGCTTTGTCCTCTTGCGCCTTCAACTCTACTCTCCGTTTCATAGGAATACCCCATCCTCCACACACACACACTTACGCACCCGCCCCCAGGTGTCCTGGTGCTGGACCGCATCAACGGCGTGGCGTACGTGGCCCTCAGTGAGCGCGCCAACGCGGCCCTGGCGGAGCAGTGGGTGCAGGAGCTGGGCTACAACGAGCTCGTCACGTTCCACTCCCACGACACGGCAAACAAGTGAGGGGGGCGGACAGACGCGCCACCGGCCCGCGGGCCGGGATGCATTCAGGAACGTGGGCCTGAGCGTCAGGGGCTGCCGCCGCGCCGCTGTGGCCGGCCGGCTCGCCTGGCACGCGCCGCTCCCAGGCTTCACCTGCGAGGGGCTGGTGCGCCGCGGCCTAACCCCAGTCTGGTGGCCGCTCACCTTGCACGCACCCGCTACATTTCCTGAAGTAGCTCGGCATTTGTAGCCCCTCACCGCACTGTCTGCTCAACCCCGGACAACCCCCCCCCCCACACACATGCACACCCCGCCCTGCAGGCCCGTGTACCACACCAATGTGATGATGGCGATCGGCACCGGCGTGGCCGTGGTCTGCGCGGACAGCGTGCAGGACGCCTCAGAGCGCGCCCGCCTGCTGGCGTCCCTGCGCCGCGGCCGCGAGGTGGTTGAGATCAGCCAGGCCCAGATGGCCGCGCTGTGCGGCAACGTGCTGGAGCTGCAGGACGGCCGGGGCCTGCCCGTCATGGCCATGAGCACCCAGGCCCACAACGCGTTCACGGAGGACCAGCGCAGGGTGCTGCTGCGCCACGTGGCGGGCCTCGTGCACGCGCCCATAGACACGCTCGAGAAGGTGGGCGGCGGCGGCGTGAGGTGCGCGCTGGCGGAGCTCTTCTGATGAGTGCGCGGCCCCCGGCCAGGGGGCGGCGCCGGGGGCGGCGCACGCCTTGCCGACAGCGGCTTGGGGCAGGCGGCGATGCAGCCAGGCATACTGCGCAGGCTGCGTGTTGCCGGCAGCACAGTGCAGCGCCTCGCGTCGGGAGCTTTTTAAACTGGCTCGCATGTTTTTGCCCCGCGCGCCCCCTGATTGCCCACCAGCACGCACGTTTATGTTTTTTTCCACAATGCCCCAGCTGCTGTTTTGCAGTCCCCAGCAATGAACAGAGAGTAATCTGACTGCTCCAAGAGTTTAAGCAAGGATGTTGTACCGGTCTAGACAGCCCCACCCCCTCCCCCTCTGTCGAGCCACACCCAACTGGTATGATTTACAGGACGGTGCGAAAGCCACTGCCTCGCGCCGCGCAAGATTGCTAAGGCGGACTGTCGGCACAGTGTCGGCATGTTTGCTGATGCCAACTGTTGCAGCGCCCATGTATGCTGTTGTCAGGGCACCACACACGAGCTTGAAACAGGAGAGGGGTAAAGGCCATTGCTGCTCGTGGTATTGAGGAAAATTTGTAGGGGCGCGCTGGTTCAGGTGTGAACACGCAGGGGGCCGATGACAAGAACCAAACGCTCGCTGGACACAGGGAGCGGGCCCTCTGGTAGGCCGATCCTGGGTATCAGGCCGCATGATCAAGCACCTAGGAGGGTCGCCAAAAGCACGTCGCACTTGGGAGAGGGGTTGATGGGCGCGGGTGTCATGACGCGTGGAGTGTGTGGCCTGTCACGTCATACCCCGGAAACTGGACCTGTGATAGCACTCATTCGCAGATGACAAGCGCATCGCATTGATTGCAGCGCCTCTTCGTGACAGCTACGGCAGCAACCAGTGACGCCGGGCGCGCCTCGCAACTGCCTCTCAAAACAGTTTGCTGGAAAAAACGCATGCTCAACCTGACGGGGGGCAGCCGGAGCTGCGGCTCCCAAACACACTTCAGTGCCGCAGAATCAGCGGACTGCTGGTGCCTATCAGTTGCCCGCTCCAATGCCTCCCGCCACAACGCCGAGAGAGGGAGGCTGCTCAGCTCAAGCACATTGGCAGCGCAGCTTGGCACCAGCAGGGACCCGAGGACCTTGCTGTGCATGGGGTCCCCCGCGCGCCGTGCAGCCACACTTGCCGGCTACCGCGCTTCAAGCAGAGTAGCCCTTCACGCGGGGGTGCTTCCAGCTGAGCGTGGTGGTTGAGAACAAGGGAGAGCGCGGCCCCGTCCTTGAGGGTGAAAATAATGTGTCCACCCGTAGGACAGGACAGGCAGAAGGCGCTCCAGCCGAGCTCCTGAGGGCATCTTGCTTGTGCAGATTGCACGACGGTGCAGTTGCAGGGCAGCATCAAAGAAGCAAGCCCCAGCCCCAGCCCCAGCGCAGCCCTTGCGCCCTGTGCTCACCTCCGCGCTGCGTCTGATACTTGGCAATCGTCACCCACCCCGCCTCCCATGCGCCCGCCCCCCTCTCGCCTGTGGTTGGTCTCGATGTAGCGCACCGTCCCGCTGCGCGCGCGCATGACGATGGAGCTGGTGGAGGCGCCGCCCGCGTAGTAGCGCACCCCCTTGACCAGGTCACTGTCAGACACACCCGTGGCCGCAAAGAACACCTGGTACAGAGGTATGGGGCGGGCCGTGCGTGGAAGGGAAGGTGTGGCGGTGAGAGAAGGGCGGCTGTGTTGTGAGCGTTGAGGCAGAGCGGGCTGGCTCAACCGCACCAGGTCTCTGCTGAGATTCCACCTCCCAAGCCCTCCACTCAAGCTTTGCCTTTCGTCTTTTCCCAACCTACCTTCTCCCCCTCATCCCCCCAATTCAGC